ATATATTAATTTAATCGTTTAATTTAAAATAAGGAATTTAATGTATTTTTATTACATGTTATTGTAAATTTATAAAATGTAATTCCAATAAAGAATTTTGAAGATATTAGTACGGTTGAACTAAATAAGAACAATGAATAAAGAATAAATAATTAAAAATTACAAATATACATTAATTGGCGAATTAAGTTAACTAATGAAAAAAAATTAGGTGGAATAAAATGAATTATTTAAATAGAAAAGATTGAGAAAAATTGTGGAAGTGACACATCAGCAAAATGGCCTCCAAATTCTGGCCTCCAAATTCTTTCTGTTTAATGTATAGAGGATAATTTAGTCACTGTTTATTATTCCATTAATCATCCAGTTCAGTTCGAAAATATTATTGGGTTTAGCAAGATTGGTCACTTTAATATATTTATCCCTACATAATTAAGAAGTCTTTGTACAGTGACTCATTTTGTGATGAATTCAATAAATTTTTCTATTTCCCTCTCAGCCTCTCTCATTTTAATACTGTATACCAGTAAATCACAAGCTCATGCATCTATATAAACAAGACATAAACCCCATTTTCTTAATTACAAAACTTAATTACAATGTCGTCTTTTTTCTGTTCATTTTGCTGGCATCGACCGTGAAAGTTTATACGCCAGACGTGGTGGTTGCCAAAAACGGTTCTGGTAATTTCAGAACCATAGTAGAAGCGATGATGCTGCTTCGGGGACTGGTAGGTTCGTGATATACGTTAAGCAAGGAATCTACAGTGAGTATCTTGAGATTCGTAAGAAGAATGTACATGTTGAGAGGTGATGGTAAAGGGAAGACCATAATCACCGGAACCGAAGCTACGCAGGAGGAGTCAAAACATTCGATTCAGCCACCGTGGGTACGTCTCGAATTCCGTACCTAAAGATTTCCCTACAATTCTGTACAATTCTATGAAATATTTTTTTTGTTTGTCATTTGAAGTGACAATATAGTAACCGTCAAATAACATAATAGTATCAAAAATTGGTAAGTTGTCAAATAACAAAATTTAACAATATCAAAAACTTTTCTATTTGGATCAAGATCGTTTTGTAAAAAAGTTAATAAAAATAAATGATGTTTAATAATAATTTTTCCTTGATAATTTTTGTTTTATTTTTCCAAAATTTATTAGATTACGTGTAACATTCAAGCTGTTTTGCAAAATAATAACAAATTGTTATTACGGCTCAAGGAAGAACTGACCTGAATCAGTCCTCGCAGATTATAATTCATAATTCACGAGTCACTTTTGCTTCAGGTCTCCGACCAGTGTTATAATCTACCAAGGTATATCTAGGTCGACCCTGGAAACAGTATTCCAGAACCATTTTCATGAAAACTTATCTAGATGGTAAAGTTGATTCACTAGGCTGGTATGAGTGGGATAAAATAACATCCACTTTATTCTACGCGGAGTCCAGAATGCAGGCCCGGGTGCTTCGACTTCAGGTCTCGTAAGGAGAAGTTGGTTATTTTATTTTTTTTTCAGTTAAATTTATTGTGTAGTTTTTTCATGTATTTTTTTTAGTTACAAATTAATGTGCTCGTAAGGAGAAGTTGGTTGGTGTCAATTCGTAGCAAGAACTATATCTTCGAAACTCACGTTCTAGTGAAGATGTTTTGTCTAAGCCCTAAAGTTTTTGGTTCTTGTTTGGATTAATACGACTTAACATTTGAAAAAAAAATAAAAAAAATAGAACCTAATGACCATAACATGCATAATTATACATAATCCTCCAAACCTATGTCAAGATCCACAGTTAAACCGAACCACAAATGAAATTAAATATAAGAAAAACATGAATAAAAAAGAAAGGAAAATATAAGCAAAACATATATAGTATAAAGGAAAGAATAGGTAGAAATAAATAAGTATATGACACAAATCCATTGTTTTTGTTAAAAATACTATTTTAAATAAAACATGGATTTAAATTTTATGTCTTACAAACTTTTAAAGGACTAAATATTTGGCCCAAAAAAAAAATAATATATATATATATATATATATATATATATATATATATATGGTAGACCTAGATTATAGCCTAAGAGCATCTCCAATCATAAACCTCTCCTTAGAGTTTATAGGGGTTTTTTTAATATTTTTTTTTGGAACAGTGATGAACCCCAACCATTTTTTCACCTCCAATCCTGAACTTTTCTTTGGAGTTTATAAAAATAAAATATAACATTTTTAAAAATTATTAGTTGTATATTTGATTTATTTGAGAAAATTTTTTTAATAAACTAAAATACATATAACCAAATTTATATAGCATGATATGATTTAGAAATACAAAATATAGAAATTTTTGGTAAAAAACATACAAAATACAAATACAACTCTATTGCTAAGTTTTGTCTTTCAAATACATACATTTGTTGCAAATTGGAAATATTTTTGTTTGTCATTTATACATTTGGTCAAACCAGTGAGTTTTTTTAGCAATAGAGTTGACCAGAAAGAGCATGAGGAAATTTTTTTCTTCACGCAACAACCTATCATATGCCGATACCTGTCCAGTGATACTCGACTCATACGGGTTCAACAGATTCACTCGAGTCATATGGATTCACTGAGAATGAGCTTCTTTTTTAATTTTTAAACCCAAAATAACGACCGGACCCACTTGTAGTGCTGAAGTAATCTCTCGTTGGAGATGCTCTAATCCGCCTGTCTTACAGACTGGTCTGGACGATTATCACCAGTAGCAGAAGATATGCTGGCGGAGTGAAGACATTTGATTCAGCTACTGTTGGTATGATTACAAAATCCAAACTAGAAATTGATTATTAATTTTTAAATTTCATGAGGATATAGAATCTGACTGCTATATAAACCGTGAAATATCATAACACTTTCACAAATTAGTATGTTTTTAACTAACAAAATTTACAACATCCGCAACTTTTATGTTTGTTCTAGATTGTATTGTAGAATATTTAATTAAAAAAAAAGAGAATTGAAATCGAATAATTATTTTCAATCAGTTGTTTTTTGTTTATTTTTCCAAAATTTAACTAGAGCATTGCTACACTAGAGCCATGATAAATTGATAATCTATTAGATCACTGATAGGTTGTATGAAGATTAAAGATTTTGGATTTTGGATATTTCCTTGCAACCTTAAAGATTTGGTACAATTTTGGAAAAGATAGTGGGAAAGAGTCGAAAAAAAATCTGTGTGGGTTTTGCCACTTAAATACAATGCAGACAATATCATATTAATAAAGAATTGGATTGATATTCCAACAATCCTCCCTTCAAACCAAGAACCACATAAACTTGTGGTCTTTCTAAGCCTCTGCGAAATTTGGCACTCATCTTGTACCACAAATGGAATCCTACCGTTTGACTTTCTATACCGCAAGAAAGACTTTCGATACAAGACACCAGCACCCCAATCGCAAGGTCACTTTGATGGATCTCTCTCCTACACCGAACAGACAACCTACACCCACTTGTCTAGATCTACTTTTTCAAGAACCTGACTTTGATACCAATTGTTGGGTTTCTCAAGCTCATGATTAATTCCTTATTAGTATGATATTGTCCGCTTTGGATCCAAGTGGCAAAATCCGTACAGATTTATTTTTGGACTTTTTTCCAAAAGGCCTCATACTAAATATTTCTGGAAATGATTTATATACTATACTATCTTGGTCTAAACTTTCGATGTGGGATTTAGATTGATATCCCAACAATCCTTCCCTCAAAACCTGCACAGATTTGTTGTTGGGTTCTTTTCCAAAAATCTTTATACTAATTATTTTTTGACATGATTCATATACTAGACACTTTTTATCTAAACTTCCGACTTAGGACTTGGATTGATATCCCAACATGTAACACGTACGTTAACTATAGAAACTTGTTATTTTCATGTGTCATCTCTTGATATCTTTTCTTACTAGACGTGTGGTCTTATGGATGTTTCAACCTTACTTCGTTCTTAAAAGGATGAAATTGTAACCCCCAAAGAGGCAAGGAAACAAAGCATTTTGAAGGAAGAAGACGACCTTTGGGTTCACCGTTTACAAGATCATACCTCGAAGGCTCCATTGGCTATCCACTGTAAAGAATCAGTCAAGAAAAAAGTGATAGACTGAATTTATGAAACATGTGGTCAAACAGTTGTTAAGAAAATAAATTTCAGTAATGTAAGAGAGAAGAGAACAAAGCTAGGCTTCTCAAAAAAAAAAAAAAAAAAGCTGGGCTTCTCATTGGCAATCGCGAAGCAGATACTTTTCTCTCAGTAATTAGGATGAATTTTAGCCGCAGGGAAAATATAAATTTTTATGTCTAAAAATCAAACAAATCAAGCTCAATTCTGATGTATCGTTAGATCTAGTTTAGGTGGTGAAATTTCTCTAACGTTCGGTCAGGACATATTTTATTTTCTTATCTATCGCTACTCTTTATTTGCTAGGAAAAATCTCATGATAACAAATACGACATTTCATTACTAAATTTGTAAGATTGTAGTATGTTCTATGAAAACCATAAGAATTGTGTTTTAAAATTAAATCCAACATCCGATATCAATTTAAAATGTTTCATTAATTTTTAGGTAATATGAGAGAAATCACTAATACAATTTTCTGACACATCGTTGAAATCAGAAATCTTCTTTTGGAGTTGTGGACTAATAGGTTCAACACTTGGTAATTCGTCTGTGCACGAGACTCCATTTGTCATTGCAGCCGAGATTTCAATGTTTAACGTTGCATAATCCTTGGCAGCCAAAGCTTTGATGGCGTCATTCAAATCGTTAAGTGAAGAAGAGCCATAATTGTCTGAGCATTGAGCATAAACATTTTTAGATTGAGGATCTATAGTGCTATTTACGAGTGCTTTGAATTGCTTCTGCGCTTCTAAAGCATCTCGTGACACATAATTGATCAAAAACTTTGCAGTATCAGAAATATTTAAATTATTGATTCCAGGAGTAATCGATTTAAAGAACTCTAAGCAGAAAGAAGGTTTCGTATGTCGTGAGCAGATGGTGCTGACCTCATCTAGTGAAAGTTTCATACTGAATCTTCCATATGATGAAGCCACAAGAAGGAAAAGCACTACCAAAGGAATCAATAAAAATTTGTTTTTTACATACACAACCATGTTTTATTTCTATGTTTATAATTTGGAGATTTTGATTTTCTTTTTGTAAGTTTAGAATTAATATATGACATTTATATAGACTGTAGTGTCACTGAACTAAACCATATCTAAATTGAAAGTAAATGTCATCATCTATTTTTATTTTTTAGTCAACTTGTTTGATTATGTACCATTATAAGATCATTGAGTCAATAGTCAAAACATATAATGTTTCATTGTTTTGGTCAATACTCAATAGCATTTTTTCAGTGGTCAAATTTTTTGTCAAAACATTCATTTTTTGTGTGGTAGTAGTGCATATATGTTAACTTTATAATTTATAGATTTCATTCATGTAAACATTTAAACAGCATATCAGCATATGCGACGACAAAAAAAAAAAAAGCATATTTCAAAGAATATACATATTTTTTAGATTTTTGGTCAATTGCATGACGACTTTGTTACGTTTGAGTTTCGTCTCTAATTTTTAACGATTTTGCGATGTAGTGTTTGCGACAATTTGAGAAAGGGCTTTTGACGTTGTTTTCTTGTTGTAGTGATGTATATAATTTTATATTATTTGGTTTTTCAATTATCCTAATTCGTTTCTCTCACATACAAAACTGATTTTGCCATTTGTTCAAAAAATTTCATAAACAATGAATCTTCCATAAAAAAACAAATCTTCGTCTCTTAAAAAATGTCCGTGGAATATTAGAAAGATGACTAATTTATCGTTATATAAACTAAAAATTACAAAAATAAATTAATATATTTTCGTTTTTAAGAAAATATCTGCGGGATTTTTTTCTTCTTATTGAAGTCATGTGTACTTATTACCATATTAATTGAGTTTACATTTTATCCTATATAAATTTTACCATTTATATATATATATATATATATATATATATATATATATAGTAGAGAAGGAGTTGTTTGTTTAGGGTTTGTTTTTTCTTCATCGCCTTCTCAAAAGTCTCCTCGACTTCTTTCTAAGTATATGCTATCTTGAACGATTTTTCAAGGGTTTTGATTTTCTCTCGCATATCTCTCGTTCCTTTGAATCGTGAATCGGTAATAGTCAAGGTCTTTTGAGGAGAGCTTTAAGAGTCAATTCTCAACATGAAGACGATAAATGACTTTGAGCAAGGATGGGAGTATATGCAGGTTGGTATTACTAAGCTGAAACGATTTGTGGAAGGACTTCCTGGGCCAGCACTTGACCCTGAGCTATATATGGACCTTTACACGACTGTCTACTGCAGGAGCAGAGGGAAACCTCCTCATGATTACTCAGAGAAGCTTTATGACAAGTATCATGAAACAATTGAGGAATATATTAACTCAACAGTTTTGCCTGCTTTAAGGGAGAAGCATGACGACGAATATATGCTGCTGCGAGAGTTGGTTAAAAGATGGTCTAGCCATAAAGTACTGGTTAGAGACCTATCCTACATCTTCCGCTATCTTGACCGTTACTTCATTACTCGTAGATCACTCCCATCTCTGAAAGAAGTTGGCCTGTCATGCTTCCGTGACTTGGTTTATAACCAGGTGCAACTCAAGGTCAAAGAAGCTGTAATAGCACTAGTTGCTAAAGAGCGAGAAGGGGAGGAGATTGATCGGGTGCTAAAGAAAAACATAAAAGAATTTTATGTAGAGATGGAAAGATACGAACAAGATTTGGAGAGCTTCTTGCTTGAAGATACAGCGTCTTACTATTCTCGCAAGGCATCAAGCTGGATTCAAGAAGATTCTTTTCTTGAATACATTCGCAAGTCTGAGGAATGTCTAAAGAAGGAGAAGGAGAGAGTGAGTCACTACCTTCACCCAAGCGGTGAGCCAAAGCTGGTTAAGGAAGTGGAACATGAGTTGTTGGAAGTGTATGCAAGTAAGCTTCTTGAAAAAAAGCACTCAGAGTTCTGTGAAATTGCGCGAGGTTTGGAACCTATTGCGAACATACTCAAGCAGCATGTCATAGACGCAGAGGGTGAAGAAGACACGGCTGCTAATCAGGAACAGGTTCTTATCAGAAAAGTGGTTGAGATACATGATAAATACATGGTCTATGTCACTGACTGTTTCCAGAACCACACACTCTTTCACTGGGCTTTGAATGAGGCATTTGAGGTATTTCGTAGCAAAACAGGCGCTGGAAGCTCTTCAAGTGCTGAATTACTCGTCAAATTTTGCGACCGAATTATTCTCAAGAAATGGGGAAGTGAGGAGCTTAGTGATGAAGCTATTGAGAAGGTGGTCAAAGTCCTTGCATATATAAGTGGTGACAAGGATATTTTTGCAGAGTTTTATAGGAAGAAGCTGGCCCATAGGCTCTTATTGGATCACGGTGCTAATGAAGATCAGGAGAGAAGTATAGTTACAAATCTCAAGCAAATATTTGGAGGAAATTTTACTTTTAAGATGGAGGGAATGGTGACAGATTTGACATTGTCAAGAGAACATAAAAACAGTTTCAACGAGTATCTAGCCAATAACCCTGTGGAAAAACCAAGGATTGATTTCACCATCACTCTTCTTACCACTGGTTTTTGGCCAAGTTACAAAACGTTTGACATAAATCTGCCCAGTGAAATGGTCAAGTGTGTTGAAGTTTTCAAAGGGTTTTATGAAACGAAAACGACATGTAGGAAACTTACATGGATCTATTCACTAGGAACTTGTCACATCAACGGAAAGTTTGATCAAAAGCCCATTGAATTGATTGTGTCTACTCACCAGGCTGCTCTGCTTCTGCTTTTCAACACAAGAGACAAATTGAGTTACACTGACATCCAAACTCAACTGAACGTGAGCCATGAAGATCTTGTGTGGTTGTTTCATTCTTTGTCACGTGCTAAATACAAGATTCTTATCAAGGTGCCAAGCACAAATACTGTTTCCAAGACTGATGTTTTTGAATTCAACTCCAAATTCACCGTTAAAATGCGCAGAATAAAGATCCCTCCTCCTCATGTTGATGAAAGGAAGAGAGTCGTTGAAGATGTCCATAAAGATAGATGCTATGCAATTGATGCTGCCATTGTCAGGATCATGAAGGGAAGGAAAGTATTGGGACATCAACAACTTGTTTCTGAGTGCATTGAACAACTTAGCCGGATGTTCAAGCCTGATATTAAAGCGATTAAGAAACGTATCGAGAATTTAATTACCAGAGACTATTTGGAGAGGGACAAGGAGAATGCTAACATGTTTAGGTACTTGGCTTAGCGAACAAAATAACTATGGAGGTGGTTGGCTCATGCGAGAAAGTTAATAAATCAAAGCACCTGCCTTTTGTTTTTTTGTTATGGGGGTTTTGGTTATTGGATATCAAGTAACAACCTACACAAACAGAAGTTTCTATGGAGCCATATATAAACTAGGGTTTAAAGAAGATATTTTTGTTTCTTATGTTGTGAATGAAAGGGTGGAATCATTTTTAATAGGGGATTTGAATTTCCAAATTCCAACGAGTTTTCGATGGATTTATGAAAGATTTCCAAATTTTCAAACAGCTACGTTATGATCAGAAATTCCGTCTTGTAATCTTCTATTAATTTGAAAAGTATATATTTTATGTTACTCGAATCATCCATTCCGACAATTATATATTCTTATTTATAAGCCAAAAATTGTACAAATCAAAAAAATCAAAGCCAAACCAAACCAAGATTCTTTTTGATTACTGTACTATTAAAAGTTTTGACCATAACGCATTGCGAATTTGCGATACAGTGTGTGTCTATATTGAAAACCTTATAGTAATGTTAGAAGAATACTAACTTTGAAAAGTTACATTATTGTAATGTAGCAATCAATATTTTTAAATAGACGATAATTTTAAATTAGTATATATTCCATATAATGCATGTGACCATCGTGCATAGAAAATTCTAAATTTATCATAAATTAATATTACCTAGTTTATTACTAAAAAGAGAGGATTTTGTGCTATTTTTCAAATGTGAATTATGTTATTTTTTATAAATGTTTACAAGAATGAAATCTTTTCTTTGGAAAGTTAGCATATCTGTTCTACTAAAAAACGGAAAAATATAATACGCTTTGACGCTTTGATACAATAACCTTAATTATTATGGTACATAATCAAACTCGTTTACCAAACACAATATAGGTTAGTATATAAATCTCACCACAACTGTGAAATATTTCGAACAATAAAACAGAATCCACATATTAGAAACATACATATACGAATAACCATGGCTGTGTATGTCAAAAATAACTTTTTATTGGTTCCTTTAGTAGTGTTTTCTCTTCTTGTTGCCTCATCATACGGAAGATTCATCAGTATCAAAATTTCAGAAAGTGATGTCAACACCATCTGCTCAAAAGCGAAGAATCCATCATTCTGCTCCAACTTCTTCAAATCGACTCCTGAAACTAAAACATTGGATCTTTCTGGTGTTGCAAAACTTTTGATCAATGATGCATCAAAAGATGCTTTAGACGCACAGAAGCAATTCGACTCATTAGCAAAAAGCGCGTCTGATCCTCGTTCTAAGAATGTTTATACTCAATGCTCAGAAAATTATCAAGATGCACTTGGCGAGTTTGATGATGCCCTCAAAGCTTTGGCAGATAATGACAGTGGCAGTTTAAACATTAAGGTCTCAGCTGCGATGACAGACGGAGACTCGTGCAACTCTGAATTGCCAAGTGTTAAACCTAGTCCACAACTCTTGCAGATGGTTTCTGATATCGACAATCTCTCAGGCATTGTTTTAGTGATTTCTAACATGTTACCTAAAAATTAATAAAAATTTATTCTATGTTTCTATATATTATGTGATCTTATAATTATCTCTCTTTTATTGGAATTTGTTTCTCCTTAATATATTTGGTACTAAATTAAAAGTGGTAATAAATGAGTATATTTTCTAATCGTTTTTTTTATGAACGATACAGATTGAAAATAATTAATAAAGATAATCCTAATGAAGAATCGAATCCGATCTCTCTGTCTAATGTACTTTTAGTTCATCACAAAAATATCAAAAAACATAACACATAAAGCATAATTTAGAGAAGAAAAACTTAAACATCCTACATAAAATCGTTCAAACATATTTCTCCATTTGGATAACGAATGTAAATTAATCGCAATGTTTAAAAGTTATAGGGGTCATGTAAATTATGTTTACTTGATATTGTTTCATTCTTTTTAATCGAATTTCATGGTTATTTAGCTAACCATAAAATCGATAGGGTTTACTGGTTTGTTTTAGATGTTTTTCCACTATGAGGATTGATGCTCGCAAAGTAAAGAAGATCTATTAAATTATATATAATTAAAGCATATAGTTTTACAACAGATAAATCAAAATTTTTAATGGGTTTGCATTGCAGATAATGCAAGCTACAACTTAGTTTTTCTTTGTTTTTAGTTGAATTCAAAATTAACTTAATAGGACCATATTCAAATATGAATTTTTTAAAAAAAAAAACACTAGTGAAATAACACTATATCAATATACTATTTTGAAATAACATGTAAATGTTAGTTCAAATTAACATGGTAAATATAATAATGTAATCGTTCTCTTACAAACAATAGTACAATACAATTACTCAGAGCAAACGCATAATGAAGATTACAGATTAAGCTCTACGTGGTAACATGTTAGAGATAACAAGAGCAATACCACAAAAGTTCTTAATTCCTTTACTGTTATTCAAAACCGCAGAATCTACTGATCTCAATCTCTTCACATCATCTAAACATGCATCAGCTCCATCTAATGCAGCAGAAACTTTAATATTCATCCCCGCGCCATCGCCTGAAGCCAAATGCTCGAAAGCTTCCTCAAGGTTTCCAATTGTGTTCTCGTATTCATCTAAGCATGATCTGTAAGCTAATTTGGATCGCGGGTCAACTCCTCCATCAATGATAGATTGTAGTCTTTTGAATGTTTGTTTAGCTCTTGCTTGTGTGGAATCAAGTGTGGTTTTTGCCAAGGCTTGAAGATTAGGAGATCCAAAGTTCGAGTTGAGAAAGTTAAGACAGAAAGATGGGTTTAAAGTCTTGTCACAGATTGTGCTCATCTCTGAACTTGTGATTGCGTATGAGGAACCGATTAAGAGAAGCAACATGAGAGAAGACAAGAACGCATTGTTCCTTAGATTCGCAGCCATTCTTGTTTTCTCTGTTTTTTTTTTCTAGTTTTATGATATAAAATAATATTCGAAGCAATGAGTATTTATATAAGAGTAGTTTACGGACAACGCATTAGTCAAAAACAGAATCAAGAATAGAAGTTGATATGAGCGATGAAACAACTTTTTGCTATTGTTAGAAGAATTGCAAATATAGTAAACAGTCATGCAAAAGTTTTTGACTTATCTTCATGCACATATAATTTTTTAAGAAATAAAACGTGTATCTTTTCTCAACAAATTAAATTTGTCAATGATATGATCAGTTTTTGTCTTCATCATGACTAGACCAATTAATGACTGTAATGTCTACTGAAAAATATTGCTGAAAACCGAGTAATCAAATTTGGGGTAAACGTAAACCGAACGGATGAAAGAAAATCAAAGCCAATTCGGGTTTACTCAATAAACTAAACTTGGTCAAGTGAACGTCGGAATTATTATAGCCGTTCAGGCCTAACCCGAATCTGAACATATAAGGAAAATTAACGAATAACAACAATATATAGTTTCTTCTTCCAGTTCGTTCCAAATCCACCCAGATATGAAGAACAAATTGAAGGCTAAACCACAGAAAACCGAACCAAATGTAACCAAAATCAAACCCGGTAAAGATTTTGGCTTGACATAGGTGGCTCTCTTCTTTGAAGTCCTAATGTGGGACATGACGCACAAGAAATCAAAACCGCAAATCAAAAATTTAAAATCTAAACCAAAAACTAAACCGAACCAAAGCATGACATACCTTGTTGCCTTTAGATGTGAATAGGCTTGTCATAAGTGGCCATGGCAGCTTCCTTGAGAGCCTCGCTCATAGTTGGATGAGCGTGACAGACTCGAGCAATGTCTTCACTCGAAGCATCGTAGTTAATCGCAAGAACCGCCTCATGAATCAGCTCTCCAGCGTTTGGAGACATAATGTGAACTCCCAAGATCTTATCAGTCTCCTTATCAGCCAAAATCTTAACCAATCCTTCAGCATTATCAATGGCCTTGGCTCTACTATTAGCCATAAACGGGAATTTCCCAACACGATAGCTCACACCGTCTTTCTTCAACTGTTCTTCTGTTTTCCCAACCGAAGCAACCTCGGGATGCGTGTAGACAACACCAGGAACCTTGTCATAATCCACATGCCCGTGTTTGCCTGCTATGAACTCCACACAAGCAACACCGTCTTCTTCGGCTTTGTGAGCAAGCATTGGACCTGGAATCACGTCTCCGATCGCATACACGCCTGAGACATTGGTCAAGAACCTCTCGTTCACCAGAATCCTCCCGCCTTTGTCAGTTTCCACTCCGATTTTCTCCAGATCAAGTCCAGACGTGAATGGTGTTCTTCCTGCTGAGACAAGGACAACATCGGCTTCGAGTGTGGTCTGGTCTCCACCTTCAGCTGGTTCCACTGTGAGCTTCACACCGTCTCCAGAGGCATCCACGGATACAACTTTCGTCTTGAGCATGAACTTCATCTTTTGCTTCTCAAGTGAACGCTGAAACTGCTTGCGGATTTCTCCATCCATAGAAGGAACAATATCTCCAGCAAACTCAACCACAGTGACCTCAGCTCCAAGCCGACCCCAAACAGAACCCATCTCTAGCCCGATATATCCCGCACCAATCACAATCAGTTTCTTCGGGACTTCAGACAAAGACAACGCACCAGTGGAGGAAACAATCTTCTTTTCATCGATCGTAATACCAGGCAAAGATTTCACGTCTGAGCCAGTAGCAACAATGATGTGTTTGCCTTTCACAACGGTGTTTCCTCCATCGATTGTGTCCACAGAGACTTCATTGGGGGAAAGAAACTTACCATATCCCTTGACATAGGTTACTTTGTTCTTCTTGAACAAACCCTCAATACCACGAGTAAGGTTCTTGACTGCATTGTCTTTCTGAGCCAACATAGCAGGAAGATCTACCTCAACTGAAGTCAACTTGATACCGTGGTTGGCAAAAGCGTGTTTCGCCTCATGGTACATATGTGACGAGTGAAGAAGAGCCTAATACATAAGAAAACACAAAACGACAACAAAAAGACAATTTGGATTAGCTTTCTACCTTTAGCAGATGCTAATAACATCATCATAGACTTATCAGAAGCTTAAGTTATTGAAACTAAGTTTATTAGTAGCTCATAGAAACAGTGCATATCAAAAGAAAAGTTACACAATCAGAGAACTTTACACAGATTGGTAATGGTACTCTATCACAGATTATGGTTTTTCTAAATGAGCTATGATTCAAACACATATCACCAATCTATTAACAGGATGTTTAACAGTAAACCATTTCATTTTCATGGAATCAAGGAGACGAATCCAGAATCTAGTAATTATGGAATAAGTGCTTAAGCAAATGGGATTAGGCCATGAGGAAAACCAAAATAATCATCACAGAGACAGTAATTAACTCTCCAATTGATTTATCAACAAAACACACAGATTCAATTCTCAGTGATGATCAGAAACAGATACAGAAAATCAATTGAAAAAACGAGAGGAGATTTTTTTCGAAACTGACCTTCGAGGGAATGCACCCGACGTTGAGACAAGTACCACCGAGAGCGCCGCGTTTCTCGATACAGGTTGTTTTGAGACCAAGCTGCGCCGCCTTGATCGCCGCCACGTAACCGCCGGGACCGCCGCCGATGACGACCACGTCGTTCTCGTCAGATCCCGATGACGCGAATCCACGGGAGAGGGAGAAGGAGAATCTAAGAGCGTCGGTGGGAGAGTTGGATACGTTTCTGGTGAGAAAATACGCCTTCCTCCTAGCTAAACTCGCCATCGCCATTGTTGTTGTTAGAGAGAGAAAGAGAGAAACTTGGCTCCTTGTAGAGACGAACAGAGCCGGCAAAATGTAAAAGAGGCTCTTTAGACCTTTTTTTTCTTTTTTAATCACAAATATTTTATTCCCATAATTGACCAAATAATTTTTTTTTTTTGTCGTAATTGACCAAATATTATTACAAAATTCTGTATGTATGCTATGGAAAAATAATAATTAACCAGTTTGGTTCATAAGGATATAAAATACTCGAATTTCCAAAATCTTAAACACTAATAAACCCGAATTATGTCCACCAAATATTCGAAGTTTATAACGATATTATCCAATCAATATTTGATTCATTATTCTTTTTTTTTTGTCAACCACATTTGTATCATTTTTATTCAGAAAAATGCACAGTATGCAGACAAATATATAGAAAATAAAATATATATGGACATGAAACTTTTGGGGGAGGAGAAGAAGATAAAGAGATAAAGATAGAGATGATGAGAAGCCATGACATAAGGTTAGGATTGAGGCTTATGAGATAAACTCCAAAAACTTTCATAGCCCACAAAAAAACTCTCAAGTTCCATAGATATGGGAGAGAAATTCCAGACAAACCTCATGCTCTCAAACAAAATTTAGATTTAGAAAAGTTGAATTAAATATCTCTTAAACCAATAATGGGTACATCACTAATCCTCAAAACAAAACAAATTCTGAAATCCTCATTTACCAGTTTGGTGTTTCTGCTTTCAATAATCCTAACAAAACTTCAGGCTGCTTTTTCTCTCACTCTCTGTTCTGAAACAACCAAAAAAACAGATGAATCAAAAATGACCAACCACATTACAAACATTGTCTTCTCCTCTCTCTATCTCTGCCTAAGTCTCTTATTATCTCTCATCCAATCCAATCTCAAATTAGAGAAATAAATCGCTTGATCGGTCTAAATACCGATCCCTGTTTGTTATATACGCCAAAATAGCTGCATTTAGTCGCCTCCAAGCATTGCCTGTAACCGAGCTCGAGCTTCATCAGAGACACAGAACCTTAATCTTCTCCTCTGCGATTGCTGAGGTAAAGACGGGAGCGAGGAGAAGCAGATGACCACGACCGTAAGATTATCTGATGAGTTAAGCCTCGCTGCTTCTTTTCCAAGCTCCATCGCACATTGTCTCGGGTCACCATGCCTCCTAAGTCCTTGCCTTACGTTACTCACTGCATTCTGGCTAGACAACACATCCCATATACCATCACAAGCCAAAATCAAGAACTCGTCGTCCTCTGTTAGAATGATCTGTTGAATCTCTGGGTCTGAGATCAGAGGTGAAGAAGAGCCAGTGAAAGGGTTCTTCAGTTCCCAATCACCAATGGCACGTGTGACAGCGAGGACCCCGTTAAGGTACCCGTCCTCAAAGTACCCTCCTAGATCTTCGATCCGTCTTCGTTCTGGCTCGTATGTTGATCTGTGGTCGAAAGACATATCAACAGCCACTCCTTTCCGGCATAGCACTGCACGGCAATCTCCAGCGTTAGCGACCAGAAGATGTCGTCCGATTATGAGAGCGGTCAATGCGGTTGTTCCGCAAGAACCACTGACAATGCTTTCATCAGACATGGCGAGATCAGCCAAAGCAAAGGCTTTTCGGTGAGAGTTCTCCAGCTCTTCTAAGAAAAAGGCATCAACGATGGAGGGCATCTCTGGAAACACAGCATCTTGGAAAAACAATCTTGTCAAGTTCTCCTTCATGTAAAGTGATGCCTCAGGTCCACCATGGCCATCAAAGACTCCGTAGAAAGCACTTGGTACAGAGAAGTTGAAGGATCGAAGCTGAGCTGACAAGTCGTCTATGCAAATGTGTTCATCCTCCATGGTTTCTCGGCCTCGAATGTCAGCAAAGCTCCCTGAACGTATAGTTGGAAAAAACTCGCTTGTGGGTTCTTCAATGGTAGTATTTGCAAAACTCATGCCCTGTTAAGGATGGATGTAAAATTGGTTAATATTACTGTTCATAGTTTTCACAGAACAAACAGAAAATTCGCACAACTAAATAAACAGAACAAGAGCATAATCAACAATTCAAAGGGAATTCAAGTCGTCCTTGTAACAATTTAATTACTGATCCATTAACAGCTTAATTAATAGTCTTCACAATAAAACAAAGGCATAACTTTTATCTCAAAGACACCACGCTAATCATCTTAAATCATATTGTCTAAAGGATTCGTCGCAAAAAGGGTAAGGAAGATTCAACATTGTGATGCTACAGAAAAACCCCCCAAATCTAATTTAAGCCCAGATGAAGAATTGACCAATATCAGCATTTAGAGGGACGATCTCATCTCAAAACCTTATTCTAAACGAACAAGCTCAATTATGGGGAAGAAGAATCAACATCAATTAGATCCCACTTGAAATTTTATATAGAAAATTAAAAACAGCAGAGGAAGCTTGGAAACCCAATAAAAACAAAAATGGCGATTCAGATCAAGGACCCAAAACACATACCGATCCGAATCGAGGCGTTTCAGCGGAACCCGAAATCTCAGCACGCACCGACTCAGAAACTCGAACTTCGTCGATCTGAAAATTCTTCTGCTCTTTCGCAGAGGAGATATGGCACTTAACGTCGAGAACCCTGATCTCAGACTCAGCAACCATCGTTTGACTCAAAATCATGACTTCTCTACACGTCTTATAATCAAAATCGAGCAGATCTGATTGCGAAATCCACCGAAAGGCAAAATCGAGGAATAAATACGCGAAATTTGGGGTAGTGGCGCTTTGCTTGGACGCAATTGAAATTCGCCCGAAAGAATAAAGAACACAAGAAAAGGGAAATTAGGGTTTGGCTTCTGTGTAGGATGTTTATTTGCAGATTTGTATAGACAGATGTCCATATTAAATCAAATAAATAAAAATAAAATATAAAATAAAAAGACTCTTTGACTATATTATATTAAAAGAAAAAAATATAAGAACAAAATTATTTTTGTTTTCTGATTTTTTCTCTTTTTTGAAATTTTTTTTTTCTGTATATTAAAACATTTTGGTTGTCCGATGTTATTATTACATCGAGGGAATCCGATTGTTATTTAAAAATAAACTAAATTCTACCTAGGGAATCTGTACTGAAATTGTTTGTAGTTTACAAAATTTTATAATATAATTTGTGTTTTTATTTTTGTTTAGATTATAATTTTCTAATAAATAATATATATTTTTCTGTTTATATATAATTTATTTCTATTGATTAATTTTTTTTAGTATATATATCGTGATTAAAAAAAATTATTCTAACATATTCATTTAAATTAATCCGAAAGTACAACGATTATAAAAACGTTATTATAACATGTTTATTTATATTAATTAAAAAATGTGATTATTAAAATATAATTTTAATCCGTTTATTCATATTATTTATATATTTTATATATTTTTAAGTTTGAATATTAAAAATTTTAGATTTATTTAATAAAAATATACAATAATCTATTTTTTATTTTGTCATTGAAAATATTATTTAAATTTAAATATTTAAATTAAATCTAAATTAATATCAGATTTATTATTTTTATGAAAATATAGTAATAACTTATTTTTATTTTTGATAAATAATATAACTTATATTTAAAGAAATCTATAACAAATCTAGATTCAAATTTAAAATTTCGAATTTATTTTAAAATATTAATTAAAATATATATTATTTTATTATATTACATTAAATTGATTTGTTTGGTAACATAAATATGAGTTATCCAAAAGAATAGTAAAAAATTAAGTAAAATCCATTTGGACACAAAACATGCTTCTATTTTAATAGTATAGATGAATGTAGAATTTATATCTAGTTAAAAATAAATGTGATTATCCATCACATTATTACATGTCATTTTTCTATACTTCTTTGGACACTTGTCTGATTAGTTGAAGACTAATCTTTATATTAAAGAAAAATTATATCTTTATCATCATTACACATGTCATAGTCTTTTAATATGTCTTTCTCTATAAATAAATGATTGTAATGAAGAAAAATATACAATAAAACATAAAAATAAGAAATAAGAAAAGTTTCACTTTCCATTCTCTTTCTCTTAAGATAGAATACAAATCCTTGCTTACCTTTATATAGATCTGTTAAAGATCATAGTTCATAACACGGTTTTCATAAGATAATAAACCTAAAGTTTACTAATATAACATAACCGGTTTAAACCATCTCGGTGTAATGATGGTATTAAAAATTTTATGTGAAAAAACATATAATTTTTCACACAACATGTCTTAAGCGAAAATATAAATGATACTATCATGAGAGATGAATCACTATTTTTGGTTGAACGATTATTAAATATGGTTGAATTTCTTTAAAAGTCTCCCAAATTATATTTCAAATATGATAAATCTAAAACCCAAAATCGGTTTAAGATAAATGGACAAGTAAAACCATCATCTCAGTGAAAGTATTAAGAGTCCACTAAAGAATTTGATGTATAATACTATGCTCAAAGATGAGTTATTTGGATATGTTATTGGTCCTAAAATGAGATTCAGTCTGAGATGGATGAACTGGAAGTATCATCATCTCAAAAGGGAAAATTAAAGAATCTCATATCAAAAGTATTGGAACATCCTGAAGATTATATTCACACTTAAATAGGTTTTATGGATAATTTATAAAGAAGATTCAGAAAATTGCAAGATCAACAAATGATGAAATTTAATCTCCATGTTTTGGTATGGAACATCTAATAAATGAGATTTCTCGTAATGAATTATCATTGGAAACGATGGATCCTCGTAAAAATAAATATGAACCTGAAGTTCAAAAGATATTTCATTAACTGCCAACCATACAGTTGATGTGAAAAAAAATCTTAATTCTAGCTAAATAAGCTTTAATAAGAATATATGTCCATGAAGGACAATTTATCAATAAAAGTCTATAATTTGTAAGAATCGTAATAGACTATTTTGGTTCCAAACAAATCTTCATAATGGAAAGGAGCAAATATATGTTGGATAGAAGATGAATCTCCTGAAGAGACTGTTGATATGGTTAATAGTAAGATCAGATACCTGAATGATATCATTGATAATGATAAAGATCTCGATTAACCATGCTATTATGGGGAAAAGGTGGAACTAGAAACAAAATAATTGTCGACAATAAATAAGATAGCGCGCGATATGATTAACATAAATAAGAATCAAAAATATACATCCATAGATGAGTGTAGAAAGAAAAAATATGGGTCAAAAAGTGAAAAGAGAAAATCAATTCTATATTAAGCTCATATGAAAAATAAGAAATTTTTGGACCAGCAGTCCAATCATTAAAGATAATATTAAGTCTAGCAGGATGTGAGCGATTTGAATTGCATTTTATGGATTTCTCGGGAAATCAACTCATGTTATATGGAGCATAATGATAAATGTTAACATATATACCTACATATAATTATCCAAAGATTTTGAAACAAAAGAAAGGATCCTTGATTTATTCATAATCAAAACTCCTAAAGAGTTGCCACAAGCCGTATAGTGTTCAAAGAAATAATTTGGGATACGAAGCCTTTTAAAAAGAGATTTCTTTTTAGACATCCAAATTGAACAGCTCATCTACAAGGTATGATTAATTCGAGATTATTTTTAACTCAGAGTTTGTCTAGTTGATTTTACAGGTATCCTAATAGAATTTCTCATCTAGAAAGATCCTAGCAGGATCTAACATATAGATAAATTTATATTTAAGCATTTTTTAAAGAAAGTATTATTTGGTCTTTCTTACAAATATCATAAATTTTAAGTTCATAAAATTTGGAATTTTGGAAGTACTCCACAAAAATTATTGTTCTTGAAGAACAAAATTTATCAGAGCATAATAAAATGAACCAAAAGGTTCAGTTAAAAAAGAGGAGGACGATGTACTCTAAAATTTTCTAGAAAAAAAAAAAATAGGGAACAAAATGAAAATGGTTTACAAGAACCACATACAAAGAAAGGTCTTGAAGACAAAAATGACAAAGAAAAACATGAAATTTCCATTAATTATGCCCAAGACAAAAAATTATGGGTTAGAGATGAAATAAGAGATAATGATGAAATACTTTTATTCTCTGTAAGCAAAAAAATTTGATTGTGGAAGTACTGATCCAGATCCAAGGTCCATATTGGAATTTTAGAAAGATCTGATTAGGAAAAATAAAAAATGGTCATAGAAACTGAATTGATCTCCCTTAATAAAAGAAATGTTTTTAGACCTATTGTCATTACACCCAAAGAAGTACAACCGGTTGGTACATATGAGTTTTTGTGAAAAAAAAATGAGAAAAATGAGGTGAGAAGATATTGGTGTATGCATCGGGTAGAGTCACACAATGGATCGGTGGAGATCAGCAAGTTGGCCTTCGCTCTCTCTTGCTAGATCGTTTCAAGGGGATTGGCATGGATGGGTGGATCGATGGCACCACAGAGAGGATGGAGGGCTACCTGATACAGCAACACTAGGCTCTGAGTGGAATCACACACACACAAAGACGAGCAAAGTCTCTCGAGCTATAGCTTCAAGAAAACAGCGTTATTTTATTGATATGGCAAAAGTATCGGACTACAAAGCTGAAAAAAGACTTTATAAACAGTCTATCAGCTTGAACCTTCTAGGGTTTGACTCAAAATGTAAAGAAAGACTCAAAAACCACAGGACTTACAAAAGAAACAAAAAAAAAACGACAAGAAACAAAGCAAAACAATGAGTTGTCTCATTTGAACACAAATATGAAAAGTCTAATTAAATGAAAATAAAAAGAAATAAACTACTTAGTTTTGGCCGAGGCTTGAACCCTGGTGTCTTGGATTTCTCTTGGCTTAGTCACCACTGAGCTGGTCGCCTGTTCCTGCACAAAAGTCATAAGTAAAACTTACTTGGTTTACACGCAAGAGTGGCCATGGTGGAAGTGAGCTGTTCTTGACATGTGGTGAGGCGATCTTCATGTGGTCTTCTGCGGCCTTGGTAGTGTTGATGATGCTTGTTTCAAAGACACAGAATCCTTCCTTGGCAGCCTCTTCCTCAGCTAATGTCTCTTGTGAAAGCTCAAGTTGATCGCTAGCGGCTAAGTGTTTGGTGTTTCTTGACTCTAGCTTTTGAATGGTGATCTCCTCAGGTTCTTTTGTGGCCTCCACTCCTTGTCCTGCCAAAAGAGATTTCATAGCTGTTTCCATGCTGGACTGTGGCTGGTTCAGTTGAGTTCGGGCTATGTCTTCCTCGGGTGTTTGCATGAAGGTGGACACGGCCAAGTTGATCTTTTCACGCAAGCTACTGGTTTTAGATCGAGTCATTGGGCCGGCTTGCAGTGTTGGAATCTTAGGAACCTCCTCAGGGTGCTCGATGGCCTCATCATTCCCTCCCTCTTCAAGAGGTTTTGCCCTCAAAATTGTTTCACCTGCGTCAAAAGACGACAAATCAGCTACATTGAAACTATGCGATAAGTTAAACTCACCTGGCAGTTCTAGTTTGTCGATTATCCTCTCCGAAACTCGGAAGGGCCCATCTCCTCTTGGTGCTAGCTTGGATCTCCTCTTGTGTGGGAATCGTTCGACCTCATATGTAGCCAAACCCATTCGCCGTGATCAAAGACTAGCTCCTTGCGGACTTTGTCAGCTCTCTTCGTATATGCTTCTGTCTTCTTCTCTATATTCTCTTTGGCCTTTTGGTGGAGCTTCTTGATGAACTCCCCCTTATTTAAGCCATCTAGATTAACTTGTTTCACTTGAGGTAATGGTGAGAGATCTAAAGGGCTTAATGGATTAAAATCATACACA